GGGCCAAAGACGCCCTTTCTAAATTATCTCGGCCACTTATCGTTGCCACTGGCGTACAGCAAGGCGACTTTTAACTGATCTGTTTCCCTACGCACGATTCCTGCCCTGTCGGGATTTTAAGCATGTACGGCAGTAAATAAAGCAACCCATAGGTAACAATTCGACGGCTAAAAACATCCTACAGCTAGGCTTCTAATTTTACTCCATCGGGGCAATGAAAGCTTGGCGACCTGCTAACTCTCAGACAGTGTTTCAACCCATACGCCTGAGGGGGTGGGGTATGCACTCAGTAATACTGAATGCTATGGGCCCATTTGCTGCTGTTCCTCTCTAGGAATAAATGCCACTTTACAGATATATGATAGATCGGCAAAGTTAAGCAATCCGTGGTGACGATTTAGTAAAAAAGAGGGGTCCTATTGAGCTACGGACGTCTCGGAGAGCTTGGTCCGCTCACCAGCATCAGAGCATTGAACACACACGATCGAACAGAAGTGAGAGTAGGGTGCCGAACTAGTCAACCTTGGTTTGAATATTTTTTTATTCCTTTGTTGTTTCGGTATCCTGGCACATGTTTGGCGGGCTTGGAAGCCTCGTGCCCTATGAGTCATCATCTAGATGGAGGATAGTTGAGCCTCTGCGGGGATTGTTCGGTCTGGTGGCTCTTTTGATCCCCCCATGGGTGAGTTCGTTGTCAGGCCGTGTCTGTTCGGTTTTTCTAAGTTTTATGTTACCTTCCTGACCTAGCTTTTGTGTACGCAATGAATTAGAACTTTATAAGATGCAGGAAGGTCAAGTGGTCTTTTGGTGTTGTCATCCGAATACCACTCCTCAAGTTTTAGGTATTCTGTCCTTGATTTGCCCCCGTCTAACATGGTTGCTCCTTGAAGTTTTTTCCTATGTGCGTTGGAAGTCGGGAGTTTGGGTCTAGCCGCCGAGTTGCCAATTTGCACTCGCGCACGCGAGTCTGCAATTTCCGTCGGGTTTTCCCAATGTAGTTGCATTTTCATCACTGCAGCTAATTTTTAGATAGTCGCCGAGTTTTCTGTAAGTGACAACGTGTCTCAGGTCGCAACAAACGGCGACAAATTCTCCCCTGTAGTCGATGGGCTCTGCGTACTCTCGGGATGTTGTTATGTCAGGCTCGGTAGATACTTTTAAATGGAGACTAGATCAGCATTGTAGCGCGCACCCCAACAACGTCGGACTACGACCACCTTGACAGCCAACGCCGGCAATTTAGTGTTATAATGATGCTACTAACAACATTTGAGTAATATATGTTTATGTTATTATTAAGCTTGGGCCACGTCGCACACCGCTGTTCTCATTCACCACGATGCCTGTAGACTAAACAATTTTACTTCTTTTCCCGTATCTTAAGTGTGCCTCAACTGTCCGCTGTATTTTGATCAACAAAACAAGTTAATGTGCCTTTAAACTCTGTTAACGCATGACATTCTGTGTTCATCTGTACAGTTTTTGCTATTCACCTCGCATTTCTTTCATGTTAGTTCCTTTCCATTTCCTCCATATTTATCCTCTGCATGTAACCAATAGGGATTTCAAAGGTATACACCTACTTTCCCTGAAATATACTGATACCTCAAAATAATTCTGCGAAGTTCCTTGAAACCAATCAATGCCCTTAAAATTTCTTACCGAACGTGGAGAATAAAAGTTGGGTCGATGTTGGGCCAACGTATGACAGTCGCTGAAGGATGTTATTTATTTTGGATAGTTAACGATTTCAGCGGAAAAGTGTCTGGATGCTCTTGCGCAAATAAGGACAAAAATGCATTGTCAGACTGAAAATGTCTTAGTTTTCCTCCAAAAAGTATATCAATTAGCATGAACAAGTAAAGAAGAGGGTCGAATGCCGTGACAACTTAATCAACGTCTTGAACACAGACAAATACTCAGACATAGGTAAGCATTGGGCAGCAACGAAGATTCATTTTTGAAAACCCCTGTTTTTAGGAAATATGAACATTGTCCTAAATTTGGTAGATTCGTACATGAAAAACTCTAAGGTTTCTGAGGGATTCGAACCCATGACAGCAGTGACAAATAGACTCTCTAGTTATTTGAGCTATGAGACCCCAACTGGGAACACAACTTAAGCTTTGCCCTTGTTACCATAGGTTCGAATCCGACCGAGGTTATCACAATCGGGTCCGACGAATCATTTTAATCTACCGAAAACACTGCTTATTCTCAAAATGTTGACTTGTTGGACCTTGCCCACTTGTTCTCATTTTGTACAAATCATTTTTCCCCACCACGATTCTACCTAAGTTCATATTGCTTAACGAAATCTTAGCAATACGTTCTATTTCTAGGTATGTAGTGAGCATGCCGCCTGATCCGGTAAATTTGCTGTTGTACATATTGGCATATTTTATGAGTCCTGGCTTGAGAAAGTGCGATCTCAGAGACAATGGATAATCAAGAATTTTGACGCCCTTAGTGCATTGTTGTTGACCTTAAGGCCTAAGCAGACCATCTGCTACCAGCATACGCATCGTCTGTTTACTGAACTTAAGGACCAATCAATGGATGTCTAATTTTCAAGGTCATGTGTGGGTTATTAGGCAATAAACAGCGACTGTGTGGCTTGAGAGATTTGCTGTATTAGGGATCGGGCAACCCACCTAAGGCACCGATAATATGTATAAGTCGGCACCAAACACCGTGTCTTTCCAGATATATACGGCTTTGTGCGCAAAAGTGCATACGTGCATACGATCGGTTCTGGTAAAAGAAGTATTATGAGAGGCAAAAAGTGAAAACTCACTCTATGGTATTCCGACTTCGAGTGAAGGGTATTTCAAGATTACCAGCTACTATTTCTGGAGGGAGAATAGAGAAAAAAATTGCGTGAGTATTAGATGCACTAGGTAGCACTACTTTCAAGTGTTTGTTGTGAGCTAAGTGTGGGGTGGTACGCTTAGGTGCGGGACTTCGTCGTGCCAGCTACCTGCGTCCACTCTCGCCTGCAGTCTTCTTGACTTTATCTTGATACCGGGTCCGGACGGGGTAGGGAGGGAGTGCGGTAGGTGCTGTGCAAGTCTACTGTCACTATAAAAAATCCCGCACAATTCACCCTGCCTAACCTCACACTGCTGTGGAGCACACGATGGACATCGTCGGTCACGACGGTTAAACCATCACTAAGCACTACTTTACTTCTATGAGCAGACGTGATGCTTCCCTGGAAACGACGCCATTCAACCCAAGTGACCGGAAGAATGTCCGTGCATGAATAAAAAGTCCTGTCAAGACTACCCCACGGTAGTTTATCCACTTAAGACAAAGCAAACAACAGTCGATTAGGCATATGCGCACCCCAGCACTCAGGCGGAGGGCCATATGAAATACAGGAAGGGAGGGTAAAAAGGCGTTGTACGGCAAGGGTCTTCTAAAGGAACGGACGATACAATCGGGATTCTGGAGCTAGGAGGAAAATCATGCTTGCGCCAAAGCTTGTTCGAATGTATTAAGTAACTCCGACTTCAACCCCGCGAAGTATGAGTAATTAATAGAAAACCGCGCCAGCTCCTAGAGAAAGCTTCGCACATACACTTTCAGGGGAGTGCCAACTAACTGATTCGGAAACGGTATGGCTAATGAGATTTCGGTAAGGCTGGTAAAACCCGCCTGTAAAACCCCCTTACCACCATACTTGTATTGGTAGTGATCTTGCGCCCCAGTGCTGGGGGGAGGGTGTATATAGTCATATCCTACCTGAATAAGAGCGCTTAAGCAACTAGCGTATTATCGGAACCAACGAGCAAAGTTCTAGGCGATCGACTGCCGAAATTAACGCATGGTGGTTGTATCCTGTTATATCGAATACTTGGATAGTCGCGTGGCTGGGTTTTTCACTAAAAATATTTTAGCAGTATAAAAAGTGATTGCTAGCAACTGTTTCGGACCACCTTATTCGGAAAATAAGTCGAGAATGCCAACTCACTTCCGTGATTGAGTCACACTATACAGGTGGATCACTAGGGCTAAGTGAAAGTGGTGTTGTCTGTCTTGAATGGACCGTGGCATTGGGTATAGATCTTCATTTCGGCTGTAACGGAGGAAATGACCAAAAGTTCTAATTAGCTCTCCTGTTTGCCTCCAGATACCACGGTAAATTGATCAAGTTTGAGTTTTAAGTATTATGGAAAGACCCAAGTCTCCCAGCGTCGTCTGTTGTTATGATCTCTCATCTTTCGCTTGCTCCACTGCAGTTCGTTTACTGATATTTCTCGGGAATATTTTGAAGTTCTGCTCAAGGAGACTGACGAAGCCATAAATTCTTCCGCATATGCCCAGCCAAGTGGCCATTTTCGCGACTCTCGACTTCTAGAACATGGAGGTGCGTTCCCTAAGGAAAGTCTCTTAAGTTCTTGTTGAGAGTTAAAAGTACCTACTACTTATATGAGGAAGAATGCTCGGAATAAGTACGAAATCCGATCTCCCAAATCAATAATTATTATCATGTGAGCGAAGGCCAACATATTTTTCCATAATTTTCTAATATACTTCTGGAGGTAACTTTTCTTCGCTAAGTTACTGCGTGTAAATCCATTTAATTGCAGAAGAAACAGGTCTGCTGACGTACAAACAATCTGATAAAGGATGTTATATCTACAACGGTCTTACTTCAAGTGCACTAGAAGATCCGGAGAACAAGCTTATTCATGTCAACTAAAGACCTCAATGGGGATGTACAGTCGGCAGCTAAATTCGATCTCTAAGTTTAGAAGTGCCTGAAAATTCGCCATGAATTGTACTTGGGGGAGATTTCTGAGGTCATCTTTTTACAACATATCTCTGGAACATATGATAACGTCCACGTTTCACCAGAACGGTATTTGAAAAGCTCTATAGCTGAAAAGATTAAAATTCTCGATTTTTTTCTCGGTGACTAGATCGTTATTTCCTTTACTTCAGCCGTATTGTTGAAAAATCGTCCAAGTACATTTTCCCGATCGGTTTCTGTTATGGCCAAGTACTTTGACAGAAATGGCGCCATTAACCATGCCCCGAATGTCACCGAGTGTATCGTGGTACTTTAATTGTCTCCTTTTATAAATCGAAATATTATAAGTCGTTGCTAATTTAGGAATTCCTCTTTTGGTGGAGGGCTTCCGTGTTAGATTAAATTACAGAACACACCAACGAGAAAGGGTAAATCTTTGCAATTATCGGCTCAATGACTGACCAACGTTCATGTTAAAGTCGGTTTATCTTGGGGAATTTTTCGTTTTTGTCAAGAAAAAGTTATCAATTTTGTTGAATTTCGGTAGCATAAACACACTCGTAGTTCAAAGTTAACAAAGGCACACTGCAATAATAAATGATGGAACTGCAATAACGTAAGCGCTTGAGAGAATGTTCCACAGTTTTATAGATGACCTTTGGCGGCATTTGTGGTGACAAATTCTGCGTTATCCGTAGAGTGCAGTAGGCACCCGTCAATATTTTTATGTAGGCGTTGGAATAGGAAGAATCGTTAGAATTCCCATAGCAGTATTCAGAAGACGAGGTGGCGAGCAAACGTTGCTTTCGATAACTTCTCTTCAGTTATAACCTGTGGAGCAGGTTACACTGGTCGTACGAGTCGGCGTCCTTCCAAAAGTATACGAGAGCACCTTCCTGCATGGCTGGCAAAAAGCAAAACTAGGAGAATAGACAGCGCCACCCTTGCGCATGCAGTGGATTCAGGACATCGTGTGGACCCCGCTGAAGCATTTCGTGTGACTTACAAGGTCCCCTCGAGCTACCCTAAGCTACTGGGCCAACGCCTGTTGGCAACAGCAGAACCGGCCGCCATCAGATTACGAAAAACCGACCCTATGCGCCCAGAAGAACCTCGTCCAGGCTCCATGCTTACCGTGATCAAAGGCTGACTAACCACATACAGCTTTCTGCGCCCTTCCGGTCTTGCCTAGTCTGCATTTTTAAAACTAACTTTTATCGATTTTTTCAATCACTGTACCCCGTTCACATATAGCTGTACCGGCCTGAAGAGAAGTTATCGAAAGCAGCGTTTGCTCGCCACCTCGTCTTCTGAGCAGAAAGAATTCTTTCCGTATGGTGATAAAGCCACTAGCATAGAACATAGTCTCACATTTATTCGCTAGTGTGACCAGTTTTGTTTTGAATGAGTACACCTAAGCCAATAAATGTAAATCAAAACAAACAAAACTCAAAATTCCCATGCTGCACTTTCCTATCAGTTTTCAACCACAAAGGAAAACAAGTAATCTTCTTTAGAATGGGTTATGGAAGTTCAATTTCACGAATGCGTTCCAAAGAATTCTGCGTTTTATAATTTGTGAGTCTAAATAGGGGAGCATTTCGGGTTTTCATTGCCTAGTTTGCAGCATCTAGGAGGCTCTTTAATGATTTTTCCTGCATGTATGAACTTCAGGAGTCTGCTTTTTACCCACGAGGTGCGTCGATGCACTCCAACAAAAATCTCTTATAAATAGTGAGATTTCGACCATCGTAGGGGACCAAGTCTACTGCTTCTCCCATGGGGAGGCACAGCATCGTTTATTAGCGCGTGAGTTAGTTTATGCCATGCCAATATCAGCAAACCATGGGCCTCGCAGCCTGGTATGCGCTAGCAGTTCCCTCACACATGGTCCCCTGCCGGTAGATGCGCATGCGCGGCCGCTGGGTACACAGGTGGTGGACATGGCTGCCCAGTCATCATCGTCCTTCTTACCCCTGTTGGGGTGTTGCTGTTGGTTAGAAATCCTGGTCAAGGGTATGCTGAGGACCAAGTGGTGTGGAGTGGAGCGGTAAGGTGCGGGTCCGGCCGTGCCAGCCACCTGCGCCCTCTCCCGTCTCCAGTCTTCCTGACTTGGTCATGATGCCGGATCCTGACGGGGAGGAGAGAGTGCGGTAGATGCTGTGCAAGTCCACTCTCACTATAAACTAATTCATGCGCAAATATTCGTGCCTGCTGCACCTTGTCAAGTAGCAGACGGTGGACATCGTGGGGGTCGACGGTCGAGCTGTCGAGTTAGTTTATAGTTGGGCAGACTTGTGAAGCATCTGTCACACACCCTCCCTCGCTCGGCGGACTCCCAAGACAACATGATATCGAGACTTCCATAAGTTGCCTCAGCTACAATAGCTAACATAGCTAAGTAACCCGCCTACCCATGCAGCGCGCGACCTGGCCTCCGTACAACCACACCACAAAGGATTCCTTGAAATTCAACCTGCCTTCACGAGTCAGTCTTCCCATACACACGACAGTCCGATCGTCGTTGCCGACGATATCCACCATGTGCTCCACGTCAGGGTAGAGCAGGGACGCGGTCTTGTGCGTGAATAAGTTCATAGTGTTAGTGGACTTGCACAGCATCTACCGCACTCTCACCTCCCCCGGCGTCAAGACAGAGTCAAGAAGACTGGAAGTAGGGGAGGGCGCAGGTAGGTGGCGCAGTCGAGCCTGCACCTTGGCGCTCCGCTCCACACCCCCTGGCCCACACAGCAAATGACCAGGATTTTAACCAACAACAATGGTGGGAGGGGGGCGGGGGTCCCAGTGTGCGCGACGTCTGCCGGCAGCCGGGCCTCTCGCCACACCCGAAATGTTGACATTTATTATGGTGGGCAATCCGATAACGTCTGCCAGCGTCCAATATGGCCTCCATTTTGGTCCAGCGGATCTACCACGTGGCCCGTTTGGGGGACGCAATAATGATCACGGGACCGAGTTGTCGATCATTTGGAAAATTTTCAAGCCGCGACGCCGTTAACGCATCTTGACAAATTTATTCTAATGAGGAGTGCGCTGATTTTCCGTGGAGATCTGAGACAGTTCATATTGACCGATCTGTGACAAACTCGGCGCCTCGGTGGAATTTGAACCCACGCAGAAAGGTGAAGGCTTTAGTACAGTCAACGCTCTAACCACCTGAGCTACAAGGCCCCGCCGGAAGACTCGAATTTAATCACATTTGGGTCCAGTTTACCCGCCCAACCTACTGCAACGTCTGGAATCCACCAAATCTGATACAGTAAGTTGACTGCCCAGGCAGGATTTCCTAAGTAGTTCACCTATAATCCACCAGATGACTACCGGGCTCAAGTAATTCATAGATATTTTGGCAGATTTTGAATAATTCATAATGACCCAACTGTGAAAAACTCAGCGCCCCCGTGGGATTCGAAAACACGCAGCAAGGGGAAGGCTTTAATACAGCCAACGCGTCGTCCGGCGAGGCCTCGTAGCTCAAGTGGTTAGAGCGTTGGCTGTAGTAAAACCTTCTCCTTAATGCGTTTGTTCGAACCCCTCCGAGGCGCCGAGTTTTTCGCAGTGGGGTCAATATGAATTATTCAATATCTGCCAAAATATCTATGAATCTGAGACAGTACTTTCGTGTTTGTGTGGAAACCTGGTTTATCATTCGTGGTCCCGGCGTGTGTGGTATGTGCAGACGGAGTGCTTAACTTTGTCAACCAATGCTCCAGATATTACCCCCCTCTTCTTAGCTCCTTTGACACCGGGCTTAGACGGGTGGGGGAGGCGAAAGTGAGGTAGATGCGGCGCAAGTCTACCATCACTGTAAACGGACTTACGTGCTAGTCACCGTCCCTACTCCCACCCCGTCATGGAGCACACGGCGGACATCGTTGATACTGACGACCGAGCTCTCATCCTCTAGAACATGTGATTGAATTAATACAAATCTAGCGGCGTTTAGGAAACAAACGCATTTATTCAAATGTCAGTTTTTCCTACGTCGATCTGTGCAGATGCATGAGAACCTGCTCGTCTAAGACTCACTATGTTGAAGTCTACAAATTGATATTGTATTGTTCTCCAGGCTAAGCAGTAGGCAGCTGCGTTTGTTTACTCTTTACACTTGTAAAACATATTTAAATGACGCATCCCAGACTTTTGAGAAATAGTATGTGCATGATTTATACAGTGCTGCCATCCTTTATAACACAAGCACACCTCAGGCTATAGTGCTAATTTTAGAACATCCCGCCATTTTGCGATGAAGCCGCTGTCACTGAACTTTAGGGAAAGTGTCAGTTACTTTCACTTTCATCTTTTCAAACACGCCTATCCCGAATTACGGCAGCCTCTCCGTCAGAGTTGTCTATTTCCCCGTGCCGTGAAGCAGAAGTAAACAAGGCTGATTAGAGAGCGCTGTTTACGTCGATCGTCTGAGAAGCCTATTTGACGGTCTCGGTGCGCGCTGCAAAGGGTCATTTGTCTTCTAGACGGACGCAATGCTTCTGGCGCCTCTTTAGCTTTCGTAGGCTTGCTTCGACTGAGGCTAGCCGGTTGTGCTTTCTCCTCTGAGGCACCAATGAGAGTTGAGCACTGGAAAAGGAGGATGAACGAGATCTCCATGCATTTTGTAACTGCGCCAGGATTGGGTGCTTCTTTGGCTGGGCTTGCACTTTCAACAAGCGTTTAAGTGCGAGTGCGTCTTTAGGCCTCCGGCAAGCTCGAGAGGCACACACAAAATGAATCTGACAGGGAGCATCCGTCTCAGGTCGCGACGGATCAGACTCAGCTTGCTTTTCGCAGTCCTCCTCCTCGTAGTTTGCTTCACACTCATTAGAAAGTTCTCCTCGCTCTCCATTGCACAGACCCCCGCCACCTTCTCGCCAGGTCCACTGTCAGTAGACGGGATGGACGTATCACCTGACCCGAACATAGAGCGCTGGTGGAAGTCTACTTACAGGCGACCGTTCACCATTAGACCACCAAGAGTTAATCGAAGTATAGGGCCGGAAGAGAGGTTTTTGTGTCCTCAAACAATTTCGAAAGTGGATATTTTGAATACTGATATTTTCCAGGAAAATTGGATCCGAATTCCCAGTACTCTGACCTTTGCGGATCTGGCGAACATTGAGGATGCCGACTGGAGGCTGCCGATCAATCCGGCGGTTTTCGATCTCTATCCTCAGGCTGTGAATCTGAAGGAATTATTGCAGCTGGTGAAGCGAGACCGCATATCGCCCATAGTAAGTTTTTTTTCGCAAACTCGTGTCATTAACGTAGTAACATCATGCATATGTTAAGGGTATCCGTATGTCCATATCCCAGTCTTCATCGGTTTTAGACTTAACTTTCAAAAACACTTAAGGGCGTTGTTTCGGGATAAAATCAACCATGTCCTACCCTCAAAAACACCAGGGCCCCCCTACCAAATTGAAGACCAGTATGCGATTATCGGCAGTAATTTCACAAATGGCATACCATACTGAAACGTGGTGATAGTGTCCACTTACATCCTGCACACATCTGCTCAGAGTATTCAAGCCGTTTTCGACATTTGGATGGGGTGTTTCTTGAAAATTGACTGATACCTCTGGTTGTGCTTTCGATAGGAGAATATTTCTAGTTTTTAATGGTTTATTAATTATGCGGCATAATGTCTGCTTAAACCTTGTGTGATAGCGTCGATTACTACTTTATAAAGTTTACACTAATGACATTTTTGATAATCATGACAGACAGATTTCAGTAGCATGAATTTTTCCGCCGATCATCGACATTTGTTTAATTTTAGTCTATATGCCATGTCCATATCGGCGCTCCATATCATTTGGAGCGCCGAATGAATGTTCTTGCTACCGTTCAGCTAAGAATAATAGTCGTAAGGTGCTTTTAACCTGATTGGCATGAATAAACCGCTAGCAATCTACCTCATAAAACGTCAGCCGAAATACCGCAATATGTATTCGCTTAGAAAGTGTTACTTCGGAAGGGTTGTAGAATTCACTATCATGCGGCATAATCTTAAAATATTTCAGTCACGCCAGGATACTGGTTTTCAGTCTTGCTTCTTTTCGGCCGCTGCGGAAACCACACTCAGTTAAAAGTGGCTGACTAATAAGTATGCAAGTTTCCATTAACTTTCTATGCACTTATAAAATGAAATACATTTTCTAGAAGGTATTCACAAAATATCCCCTCCTGTATTCATTTGGTAGGAAATGAAGTTTTCCTCAGAATTTGTATTCAGAGAGAGTGCAAGTTTCTCTTTCAATAGGCAACAACGATGCGATTTCCAGAACCGTGCAACGTCCACTCAAATAGCGTCGTATTTTATGTTTATTAATGCTTGTTATGAAGTACACAGCGTAGTCAGTATGGTGTCTTACTGGTGGTTTACAGCAGTAAATGGTTCTCCTAGTGTAAAAAGTGTATAGCTTGTAGTATTGAAGTCCTAAATGCAAGTGTGACGAGATGTTGGTTTCAAAACAATCGAAGAATATAAAAACTTTGAAATCTACGGCTGCCATTTTAAAGTAGAAATTTTGAAAAAGACCTGATTCTCTACTAAATGAATATGAGGAGAGATATGTTTATGTATGTTTTCCATAAAACATGTTTGCAACTACAAGGGCATCGAAAGAGAGCGAAAAATTCGCATTGCTTAAATAAGTATTACCAAGTGTATTCCTTCATGAGTAACCGGAAAGAAGCACATTTAAAACCAGCACATTGATGTAACTGAATTAGGCGGCCTAATAATTACTTTCAGAACTCCATCTAAGCAACCTTATCTCATCGAGAAACATCCTGGGATTTTGATTAAAATTTTATGGAGTAGGTCGCTTAAAACTAAAATAAGACTTAATGCGTTGCTGGGATTCATATCAACAGCCTTTGAACCATCTGCATAAGCAGCTTCTCCGAAAATGACTGCCCACTTAGCATATACTTTACAATTATTTCCTGATGCTCATTTAGGTTCCGTCCTTGCGCAGATGTCGAGGACTCGCGCTCCTTGTACATCTCATAGGAAACAGTCTCTCCCATGTCTTATGCCCGATAGAAGAAGCGTTTCGGTTTTTGAAAAGGCCATATTTATGTGGCACTGGTACGAGTAATCGCACAATGTAGTATCTTGTAATATGCAATATCTTTATTTTGTAATCGATACCAATTTCACCATCTCAAGAGTAATAAAAAAATTTAACACCGAAGCATATACTGTCTGAAGACGCCCATATGACTAAACGACTTCCAGAAACATTAACCCAGTCTGAAGGAAATATTTCAGTGGGGTTGCATGGCTAATTAGCAGGCGACAACGTCGCGAGCCTATCCATACGCAACAGAATAGTGACATCAGGACGCGAATATTTGGCTGGGTAGCTTCAAAGATTCCATTTGATGTAAATGACTATGGAAAAACGAGTGTTTTTAAACTAATTTTCGCTGCCCACGTAAGTGAAACCATGTTTTTCTGAAAGATTACATTGGGGATTTATTGCTCGGGAGTTACGACTCCGAGCAAGTCCGCCTTTCGACAAACGTAGCCCAAGCGTCTAGCCATAAAGCGAAACCAAGGAGTTTATCTAGGTGTTAAAGAGTATTGGGGCCCATGGTGCGTGTGATATGCAGCGCAATCACAAGTAGCCAGAAAATCATTCAGCAAAAATTGGGGTTTTCGAGGTTTTCAGCAAAACCTAATAAAAGGATTTAACTATTTTGGCCGGTGGATAAACCCTCCTGTTCTGGAAAATTAGCTTTCAAGTGGCAAATAAAAGTCAACTCGGAAATTCGCCTTCATTTAGGGGAAAAGTATATGCTTACCTGCACAAGGGGCACAGTCATAGGAATGTTCTGCTCTATCCGGCGGTGTGGCGTTTACATGTCTTCAAATTTCAGAGTAGAAGGACATAGTACAGACGAAAAACACGCTTCTATTTCATTTCTGGTAATGATAGTTGATTTATAAAAATATACTGAATTGTCTGCGGACGGCGTAAAAGTCGAAAACCTTTCGCAAACATTTCAACCATGTTTTGTAATTGAGGAGACTAGCCGCAAATTCTTAAATTGAGAAAGGAGTCCGCAAATATTAGACTTTATAATTTATTGCGGGGAGTCTGAAAGTCCAAAAACTTGCATACAACTCCATCCACCTGCACAAGTCTACAACACATATCCCTATAGAATGTGTGCAGTAAGTAAACTTCGTATATAATTTTGTAGGCGTTGACGGCACGCCCAGGTGCGGCTTCGGCCGTGCCAGCCTCCAAATCTATGTTGTGTTGGTTCAAATCCTGGTTATTGTTGTGTGGACCAGGGGGTGTGGTGGAACGCCAAGGTGAGGATCCGTCCGAGCCATCCACCTGCGGCCTCCCTCGTCTCCGGTCTTCTTGACTCTGTCTTGACACCGGGCCCAGGCGGGGGAGGAGGAGAGAGTGTAGGTAGATGCTACGCAAGTCTACTGGCACTATAAACCCCTGCGTAAGTCACCGTCCCTGCTCCCACCGCTGCTGCAGCTGTGGGGCACACGGTGGACATCGTCGAAATCGACGGTCGAACTGTCATATAATTTTGTAGACAATATAACCACACCTATACTTATGACGCAAGAACGGAGACGGTTATGACAGATTCTTTCACGTAGGTACCAAGGCCTGCCTACCAATGTGCAGATATGACATTGAATGGAGTGTAGTTGTCGTAAATGCCAGTCAGTAGAATCAAGGGGGAGTTTATGACCATGAGTCATTTGGTGTCTTACAGTTAGGACAGCCTACCTTTCACAAAACTCGGTGACCATGGTCTGACACGAGTAAAAGATGGAGCGCTGCACCTGGCAACGCTCAGTGGCTAAAGACTTTCGGTTCGAACCCCAGATCCCACAAGGTTGGGGTTGATTATGACTGGACTAAAAAATGGCCATCCCCGTCTCTCTTGTCTGTAGCAGTACTCCTGTCTCCGATTCCGGGCCACCCACCCGCCAGCACTTGTCCTGTCTTGCTACGGTAGATGTAGCATCTCTTGAAATGTTCACTGAAAGTCTAGAATGGGTTTCTTATTCTAACAGACTACTTCAGTAGGGTTGCAGTATTAATTATCATACAGCATGATCTAAAGACACTTCAGCCACGCCGGCTTTTTAACGAACATCTTTCCGACCGCCTGTAAAAAACTACTTAAACAGGGCGGTTTTATTCATGTTTGTCTTCAACATCCTTAGGAATTCAAACATATTTTATAAAAAAAACATGCATTAAAATATTCTTTTTAGTATTCATTTCGTAGAAAACTACGCCTTCTTTATATTTTATGTCTAAGTAAAGGGCTTCTTACGGTTTTAACAAAGCTTCTACTTATAAGACATTTCAGACCGCGCAATTTCAAATCGTTCAGCCTCACATCAGCACGTTAATAAGCGCTGTTTATGAATTGGACAATACGGTTAACATCCATTTTAAAATTTTGTGAGCCCTATACGACGTCTTTTAGACAGCCCATAGAAATTTATCATCTTTCCTACACGAAAAGTATGCAGCTCGTAGTTTGAAACGCCGAATGGAAGTGTAACGGCAGGTCGGGTATAAAAGTGTTCGCAAATCAAAAGACCTTCTATGGCCGAATGATACTCTATTTGAAAAAGGCGTAATTCGCTCCAAAATTAATAAAGGAATTTCCTGGTTCATGCTTTCTGAAAAAATCATCCAAATTTATAAGGGCATATAAAATACATGGAAAAAATCGTACTACTTAAGTAGGTACTTTCGGGAAATTAGTTTATGCAGGCGGCCGATAGGAAGCATTTCCGAAAACCGGCACTCTGTCGTGACAGAAACATTTTGGTATTATGCTGCCTGGTAATCAATATGACTTTGCTACTTAAGTAGCCTTCGCAAATTTTGATTAACATTTCATGAGACAGCATATCAACTGTGCTTTGTTCCCGTCAGCCGGCTGTTTCACTAAAGCACAGCCCCAGTCTATCAATAAGTTCAACGACACCCCTACTCCATATTCCGTGCTGAGGCATAGTCCGGCCAGGGCAATTAACCATTCAGGGAGCGCGCAGGCCGGTGAGCCAGATGGCCAAGTCATCATCACGCCAGCGTCCAACAAGGGTAATGAGATTTCAGCAAGTAACAATTTGCATGCTGGCTATCAATCCATTAGCACATCAGAGGGCGAACATTCTCGATGAAAGTGTGAGCCGTTCATTGTCATCGGTATGCAATAGCATAGCGACCGCATCCAGTATATGAATTATCTGTATCTGCTACTGCCTTTGATGATGGGTTCGAGTGTGAATCCGAAACGTTGGCTAAATAAAGCTCTTACTCCAGCGATCGCTCCAAATGCTTATCAGCTAGTCCCTGGAACTAGCATCTTCGCTGGTGTCGGTAAAAACTTCACAGTCAACTTGGATCTTCTGAGGCGTGAGAACTTAATCAAAGACTAATTTTTTTGGAATACAGCTTCTTCAAAAAGGTGCTGGGACAATATAATTTTTCTCTTAAGGCCGATCAAACCAATCGCATCTTATTTTTGCAAGTTATCTGTCCCATCTTATCCACGCGGAGTAAGAAGTCCAATTTCAAGTTGGGGAAAAACGTCCTGTA